AGTCTTTATATATAACAATAAATAATATCATATATTATAAAGTGCCACATAATAAATCACTCATCATGCTTTCCTAAACTATGACATCGAATGATCATAGTTGAGGAAACATGGCACAAAATATCTCATATTTTTTAATTTATTATTGCAATTAGATAATATCATATATTATTTCTAACCAATCATAAAATATCATATATTTTATTTAAGGTAAGAGATAGAATCAAATCATATTTTAGTTATGGAAGATAAATCATATTTATCTTCCATGGTTATCCTAACTAATTTAGGAGATTCTATCTTAATTGCTAGCCAATCACATAATTTTAATTCAATTATTATCCAAAATAATTATGGGATAATCATATTATTTAAATCAATCTTTATCTTTTTGGAATCTTGCTTAACAATCCTTAAAATTTTCAAAGATTAAAACAAATTTTAAGATTTGAAATTATCTTAACAAACTTTATCCAAAATTAACAACTTTAATTAAGGATAATTATCATAAATCAACTTTTGAAATTTGATATTATCCTCAAAATAAAATCATTTTGAAAATATTTTAAAATAATTTTTTTTATTTTATTTTAAAAAATCTGCTGCCACGTCAGCTAGGAAGAACCCAGCCAACGCAACAACAACGTGCGTCAGTCAAGGAAATCCCCAACTAACGCACGACCATAGCCAGGGGTAAAGCCCAGCCATGGCGTCACCATCACTCTAGCTGGAATTGTTCTAGTCGAAAGCTGGTGCTGCTGTCTGAGGACTGTCGCGCGTCGCCGCAGCTAGGCCGGAGCCCAGCCACCTGCGCCTGTTGGCTGCAGCAAGTCGTCGGCAGCAGCTAGCGGCAGTGCAACTGTTGCACTTCCTGCTGCCGCTCGTAGCTGTGACTCGTCGCCGCCACATGTCCTCCACCCTGCGCCCTCCTTCCCTTCTCTTCGACCACCTGGGCAGCTGCCGTGGGCACCTGATGGTGGTTCGACCACCCAGCCACGGCTGCCCCCTCCCAACAACAAAACTTTTCCCTTTTTTTTTTTTTAGTTTTTGAGAGTTTAATTTAATTAAACAACTTTTGCAAAATTAAATTAAATTAGGTCTATTGAATTAAAACATAAAATTTATGCCTAATTCAATTTTGAAATCAAATTCACAATTAAATTTCAAATCTAGGGTTCTTCACAAAATTAATTCAATTTTAATCTAACTCTTAAATTAAAATATTGATTATACAAAAATCATATTTTATGTATCAAATCAATCTAATTAAAATTATGAAGCATAAATTATTCGAAAAATCATCAAAATTAAGCACAAAAATCAAAATTTAGGGCTTTATTTCAATTAAAAAAATTCGAAAATTCTAGGGCTTAAGTCAGATTTTACTAGAATAATTGAGCAATTTAAATCATATTTAAACAATTCCAAAAATTAAATCTCATTTAATATAAAGATTGAACCATAATTAATTATTCTCCCTCCTAATTGAATTAAAATTGTGGACTATCAAAGAATTATAGTCAATATGCGTAAATGCAACAGGCTAACTAATACCACTGTAGGGAATTATAGGTACTACGCGGCGGAAATAAACATGAATCATATTCATACAATACCTAATCCCAAGATCTAATGCATAACACATAAAGAACATATATCGTACCTTTGAAGCGTGATTCCACGTGCGATCGAACAAGAACATTGGGAGATAAAGAACCTCAAGCGTGATTCCTCTACTTGGTCCACGGGCACAGATTAAGACCTCCACTAATGCTAGTTAGTTGCAATTGAACCCTTCAATTGACCTTCTATGGAGAAGTGCGAGCAACGAACCACCATGAACCACCACACGCGCCACCAAGGTGGCCGGCCGTACGGACGAGGGGAGGAGAGAGAAAGTCGTGAGTTAGAGAGAGGAATTAGGGTCTTTGGGATTGGTTGCCTTGATGTCAAAATACACTGTGTGTGAATTATGACTGCTTTCAAGAAACCCTAGGCATGGATCTTATTTATAGATATCATCTCTAAATAAGAGCCCATGTCAAAAGCCCAAAACCTAATTCTCATCTAACTATGCTAGCCCAATCCATTTCATGATTAGTTAGTTGCTCATGAGGCCCATTAATGGGCCTCTTACTTGCTTAACCCAATACCCTTGTTGTTTGACCTCATAGGATCCATTCTAGTAGGCTTTGGACTATTTGACTAGCCCAAAGATCATTGATCATAGTCTAGCAACAGATAATGACGACCCAAAAGAACGAACTTATTATCTCCATAATAGTGATCCTTGATATATCTAGTAATTGCATTTATCGAAGACACAATTCCTTCACATATATGGTTTCAAACGACATTATATGACCCCGAGATGTATTCCCTAAAATTTCAATACTTTTCGACACCAGGCCTTCAAGACTTCGAAATTTTTTCTCAAAAAGCGTAGATATTAGCCTTCAATTTTTGAATTTTTTGACTTTTTCTCCCAAAAATAAAAATTTCCGAAATGTTTACCATGGTCTCTAATACCCTCCAGGAGTCCAATTGAGTGGGTGGAACCATCCAATTTGCCTTTGAACGGCCAATTTACCGGTTTATAACTTGTGCCGATTTTATTAACTCAAGCCTACCACAAACATCTATGACCACATATAATGATCATATATGGTTCCAAACGGCATTATATGACCCCAAAATGTATCTCCTAAAATCTAAAGGCTTTACGACACCAGGCCCCGAAACCTCCAAAAGTTCTCAAAAAGCGTGGATATTAGCCTTCAATTTTGGAATTTTTTGGCTTTTCTTCGCCTAGAAATAAAAATTGCCGAAATGTTTACCACAATCCCTAATACCCTCCGGGAGACCAATTGGGTGGGTGGAACCATCCTATTTGCCTTTAAACGACCAATTTACCAGTTTACAACTTGCACCGATTAAATTAACTCGAGCCTACTACGAACATTTATGATAACATACAATGATCATATATTGTTCCAAACGGCATTATATGACCCCAAGATGTATTCCCTAAAATATTATAACTTTTCTACACCAGGCCCCGAAACCTCCAAAATTTCTCAAAAGCGTGGATATTAGCCTTTAATTTTGGAAATTTTTGACTTTTTTCGCTCGGAATTAAAAATTGCCGAAATGTTTACCATGGTCCCTAATACCCTCTAGGAGTCCAATTTGGTGTGTGGAACCATTCAATTTTCTTTTAAACGACAATTTACCGGTTTACAACGGCCAATTTAATTAACTTGACCGAACCCGACTTGAACCGAAATTGATCCAAACCCGTTTTAATCCGTCAAAACCCGAATTTAACCCGACTTGTTACTAACCTGACCATAATTCAAACCAACCCGTTCCTAACCCGACCCGAATTTAACCCAAGCTGTTACAAAACCGACCCGAAATCAACCCGACTTGTTATTGACCTGACCAAATTCAACCCGACTTGTTATTGACCCGACCCGAATTTTACCATACCTATTACTTACGAAACCCAAAAATTCAACCCGATCTGTTACTAACCCGACTCGAAATCAACACGACTTGTTATTTACCCGACCTAAATTCAACTTAAATGAAATTTATACCACCTTATTATTGTTGATCAAAGCATTTTGTCTAGGGAGACCAAGTCGGTCCAGGCCAGCAAAAGAAAAGAGCATCATCCTAAAATTTAAGAGTTAAATATAGTACTCCCTCTGTTTTTAAATAATTGCTCCATTTCTCCATGCGCGGAGTTTTAGGAGAAATTAGAGAAAGTAATAAAATATGGAGGTAGTGGGGTAGTTGAGAAAATAAAAAATTATAAAAAGAAAAAGTAGTGGAAGAATAAGAGGAGAGAGAGTATTATGTTGGGTCCACTAAGTGTGAGAAATGAATTAAATATTGTAAAAGTTTTCAATATAAGGAAATAGAGCAAGTTTTAAAAACGGTCGGAAAAGGAAAGTGGAGCAAGTATTTAAAAATGGAGGGAGTATATATTTTTTGTATGGTCAAAGGAGACAATTATCTTCTTAAATCATAAACTATAGTTCCTTAGTATATTTCCATATATATTATAGTCAAAGGAAATAATTAGCTTGATAAAAATAATAATTATCTATTTATAATTAGTTGAACCCAAATATGACCTGACTTGGAAATGACCCGACCTGATTGTAACCTACAAATTATTGACTTGAACATAACCCGACTTGAATCCGAGAATGACCCGACTTGGAAATGACCCAACCTGATTATAACTCGCAAATTATTGACTTGAACCGAACCCGAGAATGACCCGATCCGACTTGAAAATGACCCGACCTGATTATAATCCACAAATTATTGACTTGAACCGAACCCGACTCAAACCCGAGAATGACCCAACCTGATTCTTACCTGCAAATTATTGACTTGAACTGAACCAGAGAATCGCCCTAACCCATATTAACCCGTGAAAACCCGTATTAAACCCGACCTATTGTTCACTCGACCCAAATGTAAACCGACCATTTATTAACCCGACCTAAACTCGATAAGAAGTTTGACCTGACGTGACTCGGCTCAAGCATGACCCAACCCAAACCCGACCCGTATAGGTTATGGAATTAACCTGAAGTGAATCGACCCGAGTTGACCCGACCCACTCTTACCCGACCCAAACCCGACCCGTTTACCTGAATTGACAGCTCTACTACTAATAGTATAATAGTTACGAAACTTACCTTTTTAAAAAAAAAAAAGATTTCTATAGCCATTATAAAGTAGCTTAGTTATTACGTATCAAGATTGTTAATACGAATTTGCAATACACAATTTTCTTCAATATCCATAAATTTAATCATTATTCTACCTCCGTTAAAGGTTATGTGCAACGATTTGACATAAAGCAGAGAGGAAAAATGTCTAATCGTTGCACATAACCTGTAACGGAGGTAGTACATGATTTTGTTCTCTAATTAAATATATTTGGTTTTAATCATTTTTCTTTTTCTTTAATATAGGAACTGTCATAGATGCAGTAATCCATGGAAAGAGGAGGCTAAATCTACTAGAAAAGGGAGAAAGTTATGTGATGAACTCTCCAATACTACAATATAGGTTATTACCAAAACCAGGTGCTTCTTGGGTAGGAAATGTCAAGATTAAGTGCCAAGAAACAGGACTTGAAGCTGAGCTACACTTTAAAAGTGGTTCTTTTTTAGGCTTTGGAGGAAGCAATGGGGCTATCAAAGGCAAGATCTTTGATTCCTCCAAGAAGTTATTTGAAATCTATGGCCATTGGGACAGGTACGACCCGTAACCTATTTGTTCAATTTACGTTATTAAAACTCTATACATTAGTTATCACATATATTATTACTCTATCAAAATGAATATGTGACAATTAAATTCGAACAAGGTTGAAAATTTTAAGTTTTTTTTTATAGTAAAAAATAACTTTTCAAAAGTCAATATGAATTAGAAATCACGATATATATTCTGCCTGGCTTATAGTAATATAAACATCATTTTTTTTTTCTTTTTTTTGCTTCAGGTGTGTTTATATAAAAGATACTACGGATGGGAAAACCAAAGTCCTATACAATCCAAAATAGGTCATTTCTGCACTTCCTACCCAAATTCTAAGGGACCATAATGAGGTACATAGTTGTAAAGTTTACCTCCTATTTTTGTTGGGAGGGGGACAAATTCATATGGGGTCATGCCTTCCCCTCCCCCACCCCCACCCCCACTCCCCCATAATACTTTTTCTGTTTTTTTAGTTACATTACTTTTATTTTTACGAAATTCTAGGTAATTTTTGAAGTAGAGAGTGGTAGAAAGAAAAAATAAATGGATGCCATGTGGTTGGAGAGAGATAAAGAGAATTTATTAGTTACAAGGAAAGTGACGTAAATAATTTAAAACTTCCTTTTTAAGAAAGTGATGCAACTAAAAAAAAATGGAGGAAGTAGTTGATTCTTTTCAAGCCATGTATTTTCGCTTTTGCTTATTAGTAAAAGACTATAAGTTATAGAGAACAAGACCTTGATAGATGCTGGTCATGTATGTTCAAAGAAAGGCTCTAAATATATGTATGTAATGCTTTGTAACAATCGATACATAATCCTAATTAATCATGAAAAAAGACATTTTTAAGGGGGATAAATATTCCAGAGAAACTTAGGGCCTATATATTCTATATACTTTATTTTCAGTTATTTTAGGTTTAATAAGTTCAGATAAAGCCAACTTAGTTAAAATAAGAAAAGTTTAGGGAAAATAAGTTATGATAATTTAAAGGGTACCCAAGTTCAAACTACAACTAAAAATAGGTTTTAACAAGACCTAATAAATTCATGTAAGTTCATTCAAATATACGAAGTATAAAATAAGATGAGTTTATATAAATAAAAATCAGGTAAATAAATCACGCAATTACATAGGTGAACCTGTTAAACTTTTGATATTGTGATAACAGTTTTAAAATATTTTAACAACTAAACTAGCTCAGTTGTAATGACCTGATGTACTTATTCAAATGATTATCCATGTATACATCATTTTAAGGGAGTGTGGCAAAGTGAATCAGCAGCAGTGTGGGCAGAAGTGAGCAAAGCTATTCTAAGCAAAGACTGGGACAAAGCAAGAGAGGCAAAGAGAGCAGTGGAAGAAAAGGAAAGAGAACTCCTGAAACAAAGGAAATCAAGGGGAGAAGATTGGATTCCTAAGCATTTTGATTTGTCTTACACCCCAAATTCTGGTTGGGATTGCTCCCCTAAGGAAAAGATAGTTCCACCGGCTCCGATCATCTTTCCTATTTAACTGTTACATTACTAGTTTTATTTATGAATAAATAAAGGTGATGACAATTGAAAAAATAAAGGATTCTACAAAAACATGTTAATGAATTGCTTTTTCTATTCTTTTTTACTTGATCTAGTTTGACTTTTGCACTATTTATACACTCAGTTTTGACCTTATTTTGTGATTTATACTTAGAGGTGATTAATAATGGTGTGAAGCGCTAGCCCGATCCATTCAGTCCAGTTTGAAAAAAGTGCAGGTTGAGGCAAAGCTAAAACTGCATTTTAAGTTTAAAATTCGAGTTTGGCCTGAAAAAAACTTGATCAAGAAGCCCATTTTGGCCCAATAAACCCAACACTATTTTACATTTGTGTTTGGGCACATGATTTTATGCATTTTTCGTAAACATGAAAAATAATCATAAATAGTTAGATTACTTAACTATCCTCACTCCAAACCCCTAAAAGACTAAAAGTGAAAGTAAATTAAAAAATAAGTTTACCTGTATTTTTAGTTTCCTTTCATTATTAGCGCCACAATATAGAAAAGATATACAAATGACGACACATGGATATAGACGAGTTCCAAACACCATCCAATACATAAGCCTCTTGAAAATGTCTATAAAGGTTGGCATGAGAAGAAGAGAACCAAATGTAGCCAAGGACAACCTGCCGGGAAGTAATTAAATATAATCACTTAACTAATAAAGTTGCAATTAACATTACTAATAAAACTTCCGGCAAGTCATCCTTGGCTGCATTTCACTCTCTATACTTCTTCATGCCATAGTATAATAATTATACTCCTATATTAACCATATTATATGTTTTTGTGTGATGCTATGAATTGAGCAATGTATGCCTATTTATAGTAGAGCAAAGGTTAGTACATGGCTAATATTATAGACTATATTAATAATATTACATACATATTCTTATCTTATCGAATTTATGACCACTAAGATTTGCTAAAAGTGGCATATTCCCGAAATAACAAATTTTGTACATGTGACAAGTTCGTTGTGGTTGCAAAGTAAACGGAAATGATGGACAAAATAAGGGAATAACACATGCCATTGCCCACATGCAAAAGTAAGATATCAAATCTAATGTATTTTGTCATTTATATCCCATGCACTTTCATCACAACCCTATAATTGTGCATAATTTGTTACAATTGTATTATAAATTAAATTATTGATAGTATAAAATGCATGACTCTATGTTTGGTAACGATATTTAAAAGGAGCGTGTTAGCTGAAACTGATAAGGTGTAAATCACGTTTTTTTATAGGACTTTTTGTGATTAATGTGAATATTGCAAAATAGGTAAATTAAATAGAGGGAGTATTGTTTCAGTAGTCATCAGGATATATGAATATATAATAGTGTTTCTCCCACATACAATATGCAAGTATAAGCTGGCCAATTCAAACTCAGAAAATGGGCAAAAAAAAAAAAAATCCATAATTGCATACTAGACCAATAATGCGAACTCAGACCATACCGATAAAATATGTCTAAAACACCGACTGACCAAGACAGTTGTAGATGACAATTATATTACGGAAAAATATATAGAAGGAAAAAAAAAACAATAATAAAAGTAATTATTCAATGCCTTTTTAAGGGTTCTAATGTAAAAAGATATTCTAATATGCAAAAGTCAAATTAGAAAAATATTCTCAACTTATTGAAGAACTAAGTAACCACTAACCAACAAAATATAATACATGAAGGTGCATAAGTTCCATTCTCAGACCATATGACAATATGATTAGTAAACCACGCAATTTATTAACTAATCACATTTCTACCACTCCTCCTATGTGGGCAATTATTCTTCACACAAATGTGTTACACTCATACACCCAACATGAACACATAGGTGTCAATCGAAAGATCCATAAAAAGGCAATGCATGTTATGTTTAACAATTGGTTGAAATTCATCCTTGCATTATTAATTTGTCTATTTCAACATAAAATTGGTTGAAATTCAATCAAAACTAAACTTTAGCAAATGACTTTTAATGCTAGATTAAGAAATATGTATGGCCAGGTATTATTAGACGGCTGGCATTGGAAGGCTCTTATGGCAACACAAGAATCATGGAATAAATAGAATAAGAGGTAGAAATGCAATGCAATCATATTTGAAAATGATGCTTAGCATATGTCATTATCCTTGGACCAGAGCATTTTGTTTATTACTCATCTTAAAAGCATCAAAATGATAAGGTAAAAAGTTAGATGTGGATTGAGCCTAATCTATATGGATTGACTCTAATGGTTTGGAAAGGACTAGCATTAGCCTATTTCATGGCACATTATCTTTTATACATTTATTACACTTTAAAGTGTGATCGCACACGCTATATGTGGACTGTACTTTTATGCGCGTATACATGTGTCAATCGTATGTTTTAATACTCTATCACTGTGCATACAACTGGTTGTGAAGTGAATGTGTGATACGTGCGACTCGTAGAGTAAACATGTTTTATTTTCCCATAAGTTTCTATACTTTATAATTATTTTATTAAGTATTTACATGTAACAAGTCAAGTTCATGTGATGGTGCGCGCTACATGTGGATTGTATATGCGTCAATGCGTGTATACATGTGTTAGTTGTATGTTATAATACTCTATCATTGTGCATACAACTGGTTGTGAGGTGAATGTATGACAAGTGTGACTTGTAACCTTGTAGAGTTAACATGTTATATTTTCCACAAATTTATATATGTATACTTTATAATTATTTTATTAAGTATTTATATGTAACGAGTCAAGTTCATACTTTCAATGACAGTTTGAGATGAACTAATGGTTGGATACATGGAACAAATGTATTCAAGGATGAGGCGAGTTTCTTAAAAAAAAAATTTCTTAGCCCATCTACTCTTTACTAAAATCAACAATTAATGACAATATGAGAAATCAAGGCTGAATGTAGCAGCATCAATCTGAACTTGCTCCTTCAAATTTACATGTTAGAATTGTTCCCCTGGCTAACTTGGCCAAAAAAAGGGGCTACCTACAAAAGACAACCAAATTTTCAACTTTTTATAGAAAATTAAGGTTGAATGTCATAGCTCCCACACCCATCAAAAAAAAAAAAAAAAAAAAAACCGAAAATAACCCCATTTTAATTTTACTCTACTCATAACACGCTTTGTACTATTCAGTTACAATTTCTGTAAGCCCTCCAAAAGCAGGTCCAATATGACTCTGTGGACCACTGCAACACTCCTTCCTGAAGCTCTTGCAACATGCCCCAACCTCCCTCTTTCTCAAACTGCTACACGCGTGCTTGGCAACTGCATTAGCATGGCATGATCCATGTGACAAAACACGGTGGTGGTGGTGATGATGATGTGCTACATGAACATCATGGGATTTTGAGCAATGTTCGTGTTTCGAGTCCATATGCTTGCTGTGCAGTACATCAATAACAGAACTGCACTGTACAGGACTTATCTCATTTGTGTCTAGGGATTTCAGTTTGTTCGCCCCATCATTGACTTCACAACACGAACTCTTCTGTTCAAAATGATGATGTTCATTTACCCCCGAATGGTGATGCTTCTCAGAATCCAAGTGATCATGTTTGATACATGAACCAGCCTGACTTTCAAGCAAGTCAAGGCAATGATCGTCATCAGAACATACATTCCCTTCACAAATACTTGAGCTATGGGGATCGTTGGACTCACACTCTGATGCGCATTCAGGGGAATGACAGTGTTTCTCATGTGTGTCATGAGCATCTGCAGAATGACAGTGTGTATCATGTTTGTCATGAGCATCTGCATGACAATGCGGTTGATCAGTTGAATGACAGTGTTCATCATGTGTGTCATGAGCATCTGCATGATAATGCGGTTGATCAGTTGGTTGACAGCATTCAGATACATGTGCTCCGACAATTGGATTCACATAACTAACACTGGAATGGGATTTACTGCCGGTAGTCTGACATGCAGTCACGCAATTCTCTGAAGAACATTTAGCAGATTCACAGGACTCAGGATTAGTCGTCTGGCAAGGATTAGCTAAGTGACTCTGAGAAGAGCATTTTGCAGGCCCACAAGACTTGGTTTCAGTCGCTTGACAAGGAGTAGCCGAGTGACTCTGAGAAGAACATCTTGCAGGACCACATGACTTAGTATTAGCTGTCTGACAAGGAATAGCCGAGTGATTCTGAGAAGAACATTTTGCAGGACCACATGACTTGGTATTAGTCGTCAGACAAGGAGTAGCCGAGTGACTCTGAGAAGAACATTTTGAAGACCCACATGACTTAGGTTTAGCCGTGTGACAAGGAGTAGCCGAGCAATGAGGCACTGCAGTTTTGGAGCAACATTGCTGACTTGTCTTAGAATGATGGTGTTCTGTCTTATGAGAATGACACAATGAGAACATTCCAAAGCACCGGCTACTGCCATGTGCATGGCCTGATCCCCGTAGGAGAAGCATGCTGTTAAAGATCACAACCAAGCATGTCGCGACATCAGCTAGAACTGCCAGCCAGACAAGTGGATGGCCTGCAATGGCAAAAGCAATGACTCCAGCCTTGGTAATGATAGAAATAAATATGTTTTCAATTACTTTTCTGCGGGTTTTTCTTGCAAGCTTAATAGCTTTCGGTATTTTCCTAATGTCATTTGACATGAGAATCACATGCCCTGTCTCTGTTGCCAGCGCTGAGCCTGAAACTCCCATCGAGATACCCACATCTGCAGTAGCTAATGCAGGAGCATCATTAACACCATCGCCTACCATGGCTGTAGGTCCGTCTTTTTTGTAGTCCTTTATAATTCTTGCCTTGTCCTCAGGCAGAAGGTCTGCATGAACTGCATCTAAAGTTTTTCCAAGCTGCAATAATCATAGAAACCTCTAGTCAGAAAATTCTATTCATATCTTCACGCTACAAAAGAAATACTCTTACAGTCCCTTTCAAATCACTAGAGTAAATAGGCTAGAAAAGGCTAACCTTGGCAAAAGTATCTATAAAGGGTTTAAATCAATCACTACGAAAGTTAGGTCCAGAAATAAACCTGTTCTTGTGCACGCATCGCTGTAGACTGGGTATCTCCAGTGAGCAAAGCAGTCTTTATGCCCATTGATTTCAACTCTCTAATTGCTTCAGCAGCCCCTGATCGACAATCATCTGAGAGACTGAAAGTCCCAATAAGAACTCCTCCAGAGTAAACATAACCACAAGTTCGCGCTTCCTTTATACTATCATCACCATGAACAATATTTGAAGCTAACATTTGGTTATACAAAACAGATTTAAGTCAGGCAGTTCATACAAAAATTTACAAAATTATGTGATTAGAAACAATGCTACTTTGTGTATAGTAGCAGCTGCTTACCTACTGTACAGTTGGCCCTTCGGCCTAGCTTCTGGTTTCCAATGTAGATTTCCCTTCCATCAATCTTACCGAAAACCCCTTCTCCTGGAAAATTCTGAAAGTCTTCCACATTTTCAGGCTTCGGTTCAATGCCTTGAGGTCGCCCATAATCAGCAAGTACAGCTGCTATAGGATGGCTGGACTTGCTTTCGATACTTGACACCCTTCAACATTTAATAATTCATCAAATTATATTGTGATCTAACTATATTCTTTCATGCAAAAACTAACAAACCATAGGAAGACGGGGGGTGATAAATCCATGTCAAAGATCGGAAAAAGCTATAAAACACCTACCAGTATACTAGCGTTGTCAGAGTAACACCATCAGCAAGTGAACGAAAGTCTGTCAAGGTGAATTCACCCCTTGTTATAGTTCCAGTCTTATCGAAGGCGATGTGTTTAATTTTGGCAAGAATTTCAAGGTAATCGCCCCCTTTTATCAGAAGCCCTGAAGTAGCTGCTCTTGAAAGTGCACAAAAAGTTGCAACTGGTGTCGAAAGGATAAGTCCGCAAGGACATGCACTCACTAAAACTACCAGTGATAAGTAAAACCAATGCTTCTTATCATGAAGTTTCATTGCAACAGGAACTACCGCTATACCAGCTGATATTAAAACAACAGCTGCAATGCATAGCCAAATAAAACACTGAAATCATGCTCATCTAAAAATATATTGGTCCAAAATAAAAGAACCTGACAGCAATTTCACTCGTCATTCTGATGTTTACAGTAGGGTTATGTGCTCTTCAACTTATGGAATTTTTTTTTTCAGCTAAATTCAATTTTTATCACGTAAATTAGTAAACACATGTGACAAACAAGCTGATTCATTAGCCAAAAAAAAAAAAAACAGTTTATGCAGTATCAATAGTTTTTGGTTTATAAAAAATCAGTTTTACTGAGCAAACATATGTTCAGTTCCGTAAAAATCAGCATATAACATCAGAAAAGCAGGATTAACAAACCTGGTGTATAATACTTAGCACATCTATCAATTAGCCTCTGAACACTAGATTTATTGTTTTGCGCTTCTTCTACTAGCTTTGCCATTTTTGCAACTGCACAATCCTCGGCTAAGGCAGTTGTTTTTACGCTGACATAACCTGTTATTTTAATTTGAAATGTTATCAACTGAAAAAACATGTACTCATAAATGTTATTAATAAAGTGAAGAGATCCTAGAATATAAGACTAGGGAACGAACTTACCATTTACATTAACAGTTCCTGCCCAAACTGTAGAATCCTTTTGTTTGGGAACAGGATATGATTCCCCGGTTAAAGTCTTCTCATCAACTTCACAAGTTCCTTCCACAACCACTCCATCAATTGGTATAAGCTCGCCCGACTTAACAGCCAGAACAGTATTCAGCTTAACATCTTTCACATTCACAACTTCTCCTGTTTCTGCTATAGTTGCTTGTTGAGGTGTCATACTCAAAAGTGATGACATAACCGCGGTTGCCTGAGACACGCAAGGAGGGGAGGAAAAAACACATTTATATTGAACTCAGATCATAAGTGCATGAGGTTGACTTAGCGTGTTCATACCAATATTTTACAAGGAAATTTGCAGCCAAAAAAGCATAGCAATTAGAAGCATATATAATATTTTCACAAAATATATATATAAGAGGGTGCCCCAGTTTCTCATGGTGAATGACATTTTCGTAAATAAATCAACAAATTTATTCAATTGTGGAGCCCACAATAATGAAAAAGTTGTTGATTTATTCACGAAAGTGCCCCCATGAGAAACAAATTTCGTTTCTCACCATGAAAAACGGGGATTTTCCCTATAAAAAGGCGCTTTTGTGTAGAAAATTTAGCTCATAAACTATTATTGTTGATGCTTATTTAAACCTTTTTATCCCTCTTACATAACTAATTTGGCTAAAATTGAAAACGACGACATACATGACCTATAAAACACAGGGAATATGCAAAATGAAAACACAAGTACACAACAGAAACGATTACTGAGCAGGAAATGATAAAGAGTAGAGTAGAAACTAGAAACCTTTTGACTAGCCCTTGATTCGAGCCATTCCGCGATGGTGAAAAGAAAAACTATAGTACCAGCTTCTGTATAATCTCTCATCACAAGTGTGCCTACCACTGCCAAAAGTCATGTTCAACATTATGTTAAAGTTAAGAGAAAATACCAGTTAATTACTAACACCAAATTAAAAAAAAATGCACAATATTACTTCTCAGCCAGTTGAATAAGTCTGCATTCACTGATCACCAGCATTCTCAAATCTCAATTTAATTTGAAAAGTGATCATAACTTATTAGGACAATAACAGAATAAAACAAAAGCAAACCAATCCGCAATTTAAAGTGCTCTGGGAACTAAGACGAAGTAGGGCCAGTTCTGTTCAGCTTAATTTCAGTTCAGTTCAGTTCCTAATTTTCTTCTCTCATAAACAATTCAGTCCAGTTCTGTTTAGTTCAGTTGTTTTCAGTAAATCGGAACAGGCCCTTACTAGAATGATAGTGAACTGAATGCGGTACTGTTAGTCTGCTACTACAGCGCGATTTAACCATCCTATATTCCTACTGTCAACAAGTGATCAGCTCATACAAGTTGTGCAGTACAACATGACTTTCTACGTCAACCAAGCGACTACTTAGTTGCTCGTATTAACTAGTATCGAATATCACTATACAATCGAGGAGGAACATGCATGGTTACTCAAATTTCACAAGCTTGACAGATCAAGTAATTAACCATGCATTACACCAGTGATCCACAAGCAGTAACAACTAGCGATATCAGGTAACAGTGTAACAGATAATGAAAATAGAATATCTCGACATTAGACAGTACCTGCTATGAGCATAAGAATGTTGACATCGAGGGTAAAATTTTTTATTGCAATTACACCCCTCATGAGAATAGGCCAAACTCCAACAGCAACCGCTGCAACTGCTAGCCATTGAAAAGGGTGGTATACGTACTTCAAAAACGACAGTGAGAGCAACAGTCCTGAAGCAATAACATAAGGGCTAGGCCATTTCCCCCTGTAGCTCGCTTTCCCGATTACTCTCACGTTTGCTTCTAGCCGAGCTTGATTCAAAGCCTTCACTGTCGTAAGAAATGTACACAAGTATTATGTTAGAGAACCACCAGGTACTTAAAAACTACTTTCTAATAAACGAGAATGTTGTAAGAGATAGCGTTGTACTTGGAAAGCAAACTAAAGAATTGTTATCTTGACAGCATATGTTGAGACGAATTTAACAAGATCCCCACATAAAAAAATTTAAAAAAATGTTTTTCCGTACTATAAATAACAGGAGTAGCAAATAAAGTACTCTATTACACAAATGATTAGTGTAAAAATTAAAAAGGTACAACTAAAAATATTCTTTACATGTTTTAATTTCTTGCATGTATGACAACTTGTTCTTTAACTACTACTCTAAACACCTTGGCCGGTACTCGTGTATAATGTTTGATGCTTAAGGAGTCACAATGGCTAAATGACGTACAATAAACAAGATTCGATCCACGTACCATCTCCCAAGGGCCCGAAATTTTAACCAACTACGGAGTAAATGAAACAGAGGTGGTAATAATAGTTCGGGACCATGCAATTATATCAATATTATCCATCTATAATATTATTAAAACGCAAAGGGACAACATGCTACTGTCATGTGTCACATCATTGCTATGCATCACCCTTACGTGTCATCACTTTTAAATGCTTCATATGTGCAACTTTCGTATTTAATTTTCCCCTATAATATAACTTTTAAGTAATTGCACACATTTAATTTGTAAGAAATTAATCACATACTAATGATTGTTAATTCCTTTGATATATGCTAATACCAATTAAGCAAGCAATTATACAAAGTAATATTTACAAGTATACTACACTTCTCTTTTTCCATTCCCTTGTATTTTTTTCTATTTTATTTTTAACTTAAGATAATATTTTCAAAATATTATTTAAAGTTTAGATAATTTTTTCATAATTTTGTATATAAACAAAACCCGAATATCGCTCGAGCCACAAACTAGTTCTACATGAAAACGTGAGACTTAACACATTAATTTGTCCTATTGAACTAGGTAGTGCGAAACTAGTCAGGCAGTCATTCGCAAACATGACAAATTAATGCCCTCCTTTTTAGCTTAATGGAGTCTGTCACGCATCTTCCACACTAACTTTTCTAAGTTGTGAAAAAGTAGTTAACACTAGTAATGGATTAACGGTGTATTATAGCTACTTTATCTATAATTATTATTGGTTATTACTGTATTAATTTCATAATTGTTCTTTTATTTATTTATTTATTTTTATTATTGTTATCATTATTGATATTATTAATTTCTTATATGGTGGTCCAAATAAATGTTACACCATTAAGAATCAAAAGGGTTTTATTTTATCAAACCAAATTGACACTCTGAATCTTAAGTTCTTAATTAATTGAACTGAAATACGATTATTAGCATTAAATATGTATAGTGCTTATATCATACTTCCATTAAATTCTATAGAATATTCGATACCTTTGGACTTTTACACTGTTCACAAGTTAATTTGTTACTCCTTAGTCCTTATAATGAATATGTAGAAAAATATACAAAATGAATTACACAAACTTTTAAAAAAATCGGGTGTACAATAATTATTATATATCCATTTTAAATCTCTCTTAAAGTGATCAAAAGTTACCCATAAAATGAATAAAAGTTATCCTAATATGTATAAATTAACCCAATACAAATAAAAATAATCTACGTTTTATTGGTAAAGAATCACATTTTAAATGACTAAAATTCAATTATTAGTGATTGAAAGTAATTTTATCACCCTTATAAAACTTTTCTTGTTCGATTTATAAAAAAAAATCATATTATGTTCAAAGTTACACAAAAAAAGGCAAAAAGTTACCCTAAATTGGCTTAAAGTTACCCTATACTGCTCGATGTACACTAATATTAGTGTAAACCGGATGTATACAAAAGTTTTTGAATGAATTATGAAAATTCTTTTAGGGCAATTTTGTATAGATTTTTAGCCTAATTTTCAGCAACAATTATATCCCCAATTTTATGCATGAATGATGATAAACGAATATTTTAACATTAACCCACTAATTAACAAGATCATGAGACTATAATAAGTAAAACCTCCTGAATTTTTTAAAAATAAAGGTTAGCTAGAAGCAACCTCTAGTATTAAATCTCAACTACCAACAATATTATTAATTAAATGAATGTGAATGAGGTGTTGTACACTACGGAGTACTACACTTGTACTATTCATCGAATATCAATAGCAAAGCATACGTATACCTATTACTATTGACTAAAACTTGATCTATTAGTAAAGATTGTACTCCGTACTCATATTTCACGACTTTGAGGTTACATATACAAACTTACAAAGTAGATTTTGGAACTTTATATACTTTCTTCATTTTACTTGTCTCCATCAACCATTTATGAAGATTTTTGTGGGTATTAAAATATCACATGTATTCATGTTATTTTGCTTCACGTAGTGCAAGAGAATAGGTTGCATTTTTCGTGTCATACATGCATGGGCTGGAAAACGTAACAACAAATTAAATATAACCCCTCCAAAAAAAAAAAAAAAAAAAAAAAAAAACCAAAATGATTATTTCACGTGCTCAAAGCCATTAATATCATGCTTGATTTTATTTCGTTTTGGACAAAGAGTACGATTTCCATGTGTTTTATTTTTAATTTCATATTAAATTTAACAAGGCAAAATTTTTATAAAAAAAACACTACGAAATTAAAGATTTGCCAATGAGAAATTCATGAAAAAAAAAGTCACAAGATCGGTGTTACGAAAATACAAAACTTTGTAAAGTGACCTAATTTAAGATGGCAAACGCCGTGTCATTTAGTGACAAAGAGAGTAATTCAGCACGGCAAATGAATCGATAATGACTACAAAATGATCACAAATAGAGCATTTAAACCTGAAAAATCTCTGCATCACATCAAGTTTGTTTTTAACATGTCCAAATTATAAAATAAAAATGGGTTTCTTTTTCTTTTTTGGCCTAACCCATTTTTGCTGCTTTTCAAAAGGAAAAGACTAGAAAGATAAGGAAGGGTGGTCAAACAATTTTCTCTTTTTTCCCAATGAAAAAAGCGGTGCACAAAATTGACACATTAATACATTATTGTTGCCTGTTTTTTGCCATAAGTTAACATTGATTTTATTTCCTTTTCAGTTTGATTCTCAAAAAATTATTGAGTTTTTTTTTTTTTTTTTTTTTTTTTTGCGAATGAACTACAATGACATTGAAACTAAATTTTGTTATTTTTTACAGCTATCTAAGACGTAGCGTCTTGTGTGACACCGTCTTGTTACGAATTTACGTGGCTAGTGGCGGACATTGCTTAACACGTTACCATAAAGTTGATCGTATTTTACGATTTATATACAAGATAAACATTAGCATGCATAAACTTGTTCGATTCAGCAATCAAATCTCCTTTGGAATATATTGAAGCGTATAAAGGGTTGGTTAATTGTTTTTTAAAAATATATTATATATGTTACATAATCAAAAATTATTTAGACTTATTAAAATCATGATAATTTTGAAAACTGACAACAAAAAAGTGGAAATTTTTTTTTTCTTATTTTCCTGTTTTTGGTTTTTAGTTTTCAAAAAAAAAATAGACACTGAAAACCAAAAATAATGTCAAACAAGCCCTTAACTTTGTAACAATTTTCTAGAAAAATTAATTCAAAAAATAGCCTTTATAACTTTTTAAAACAGCTGAAATAATTATTATTGCGAGACTGTATCATACATATTCTTAGTTTCTTACACATTATGGTAAGAATTTGTAAAGAGGAAAAATGCCAAAACAAATTAATGAGAACAGCTACTAAAAAGATCATCAAATTACATTACTACTCTTTCTTGTTACGTAACAAGTGTCCATTTTCTCATTTCTCAATTATGAATATTTCCATCTACCCCATCTACCCCAAAACTCGAGAATTCTACTCGGCTCGGTTCATTTACATCCCTAATTTAACAATTCGATGTTTACGAAAAGAAGAGAGAGAGATAGAGAGCGAACATACCAATTTGATGTTGAGAGATAAGGAGGGTATCATGCACAACAATGACAGTTCTAGAAGGAACAATCACTGAAACTTCAACTACTCCTTCAAGTGGTTTCAGTATTTTCTCTATTAATGGAACTTCTGATGAACAGCATAATCCCAACACATCAAAATAGCTTTTTTCTATATTACTTCCTTTTTTTTCTTTCTTTACATCACTTTTTTCTCCTCCTTTTGAAGATTTATCCATTCTTTGCTGCTACAACAAGTTTATTTTGTATTTTTTTTAAGCCTGCACACCAATAAAAATGACATGTTAACCACATAAATTCATAGAATTTTCTTCTTTTTTTTCTTTTCTTTTTTTTTTTTGGGGGGGGGGGTAAGAAATCACATGGAAATTTTTTTTTTTTTTTTTTTTTTTGGGAATACACTTTAAAAGATATCTCTAAGGAATTATGTGCTCAATGAATGTCAGCTAGCTTAGTTGGTTAAGGTGCTGAAGGGTTATACCAAAACCCGAGATCAAATCTCGGGAAGAGAAGTGGCATTTGAGTTTCAAAACCCTATGTGAAAAGGAAAAACCTAACAAGAAGTAAGGGAAGGAGATCAAAGCAATAAAGAACAAAGAGAAGAAGAAAAACTAACCAAACTAGGAATAACTCCTATGAATTAAAATAAGGTGAAATTTGGACCAACCTTGATTAAGAAGGATGAGAATCATATAATATGAATGTATTTATAAAGAGGTGTGAATTAATGAGGAGAGAAGAAGATGGAAAAAACAGAGGAAAGCAGGGGACGTTTATAAAAGGGCATAAGAAAATGTGAGATGGCGAAGGAAGAAACATTTTGCAAAAGCTATGCGTCATTTAAACAACAATTGGATCCCTCCACATTAGCGGTTACTACTATAAGTGTACTACCAAAATATATGTTAAATCCGGGTCTTAGTCGCACCCACAAACTGAAAAAGTGAATCCACTTTATAAGATTAAATGAGGTTTTATTTCAAAATTATATGACAATTAGAGAAGTAACCTTTCTCATAATACAACTTTTAACTCTCTCTGTTCAATTAATATGGAACACTTACATTTGGTGATATCTGGGAGGACTATTCTCCAACAATATAACTTCATTTCATACACATTGAAAAAACAGTTATATACAACTAATACAAGTGCTAAGGGTCCGTTCACATTTACTTAATTTTAATTCAATTCAACTCCAATCAGTTCAGATAAGTTCAGCTCTTAATTTCCCTCTTTCATAAAATATTCATTTCAACTTAGTTTCGTTCTGTTCAGTTCAATTCCAATTAGTTCAGCTCAGTTCAACTCAACTCATTTCAGTAAATATAAATAGGCCTTAAATTAAAGTTGCTTTATATTATAGTTTATAATTTTATTCTAGTTGCTTTATACTTTCCTTTTTTTTTTTCCTTTTTTTTTTGGTACTCGATGTGATTTAGATTATTTCGATTTATGTTGATAGGATGTGAAATTTGTATAAATTTTTCTGATTGATAAAGATATGAGGAGGTTAGAGCATCTAGAACAATGATATATCATGTGGACCCAATCCAAAACAAGAGTATGAAGTATAATGAAGAAACATGCATATTGTGAATTTGTGACAAGTAAAAAGTTTATTGGGGGACAAAGGGATTATTTCCTTAATTGTATGATATCTTCTCCAATTACTTACTAATCAATAAATGCTATCTTTACTTAAATAGTGTTTTTAATGCAATTATTATACACAAAGTTTTATTTGAGGCTGGTCACACCGTATGTCCGAGATTACTTGGTCAGAAGTTACTTGATCAGTCATGATTTAATTGGTTATGGGATACTCAATTAGTTAGGGATTACTCGGTCAATCTGAGACTACTCGGTTAGTGTTTTGGTGTGTGTCAACTGACCATACGCGTGGTCAGCCATACAAAAAATGCGTTAATTATTTTATCATCAAAAGATTTAATTACGTTTTACTCCATATTAAAGATTATACGGAGTATTACTTCTTAATTCTTATGTATCAATGAGCAAACAATGAAACAAGCATGATCAAAGTTTGGACTGCTTTACCGAAACTTGCAAATTAAACACGAACATCTCTTTTAGGCCGGGTGAAGTTATCATATCATTCATTAATCAAGGGGATCCGATAAACTTCTTCAACTGCATGTCCATGCATTATATAAAACCTGACCTTAGGAGTATTTGGAGTAGTTACACTATGCACGCATATCGATATACCAGTTTGACCTTAAATATATAATTAATTCATGGAATTTTATACTCCATATTTTATCTACTCTAACACCATATTTCATGATAAAATTTAATTTGTTTTTAATATATTATCAAAAATCTATTATTAGGGTCTATATTTAAAGGTAAAAGCTAATGAGCGCCCTCGGGCCGTTAGATAAAAGAATTAAAGTACAAATATTAGAGTAAAATTAACATTAATTACACCGAACGACGCGTGATTTTGTCATGAATTCCTAACTTAATATCATTTCAACCAATATAATTTATCCTTATCTAACGCCCCGGGGCGCTCGTTAGCAAGATCGATATTTAAAACGTGTCAATAATTCTAAAACGAAGATAGTATTTATATTATTGTTAGTATTATACAAGTATTGTAATTGTTAGTTTTGTTACTCGTATTATGAGTATTTTTTAACCCGAATTAATCCGAGAAAATAAAATTAAGGATTATAGGAGGAAGAAAATGGAGTCCAGCTAAGAAATCAACTGAGTGGTGCTTACATTGTGTACTTGCACCTTATAGTTTGGTAGTGATTTTGATTCCATTTTTACATCATTTATTTTAGATTTTGTTGTTAGCTAATTAAGAGATTTATTCATCTCCACTTTCTTAATCAAACAATTCTTCTATCTCATTTAAGTTGTCATCTTCACTCCTTTTAAAGAAACTAGTACATTCTCCATTAATTTGTTCCTTATAAAGATACTAGTACAATTCTCCATTAATTTGTTCCTTCATGTTGTACTAACCTTAGTAATAAAGGGTGTTTGATTGAGAAATACTTCATAATACCATTATACTTTATTTGTTTATTTATTATCGTAACATTTACCTTATTAATAAAAAGTTTAACAAGCTAAGTATTGCAATATACAAATATCTATTTATGCAAACAAGTATCTCCTTTAAATTAAAAAATACTCAATGTACTCTTCTTACTTTCCTCTTATATACAATGTTACAACTTACAAGTATGTTAATTATTGGTGTACTGTTGCAAATTTAGAGATGTATGTAGGGTCTGTTCTGATTAACTGAACTAAACTTATTGGAGTTGAACTGAATTGAATTAAATATTTTATGAGAGAAGGAAATTAAGAACTACACTGAACTTATTGTAACTTAATTGAACTGAAAATAATCTGAAAAGAACAGGCCCGTATTCCGTAATATTATCATTAATAAAGAGTAGTAACATCGCTCCACACACCATACCTTTGTAGTCTATGGATCAACTTTTAAGGGGGCTCATTCCCCTTAAAGTTAGGTAATTCCCCATACTCTAACCTTATCGATTGATATACGAAATACTCGTCAAATAAGGAAAGAAGGAATAGGCACAAATGGCACCAAATTGACACCTCGGGAACCTTTGACTTATACATGTTACGCCGCTCGATCTGAATTTTTTGTCCAAACTCTACAAATGCATTCGCATTTTGACTGTTTTTGCCATTAGAAATTCTTGTGATATAGATAGATCTTTCTTTTGTGTCAAATAAATCCATCTAACCTGAATAAAATCAAAAAGAAAAACAAAAAACTAACGTATATGCCATTTGGTCTTAGAATTTCATATATACATGTGTTATTGATATAAATTTTAGAATAATTGAAATGAGCAACCTAACATAAGAGATTTCATTCCAAAATTGATTGATATCAAGATGACTGACTACTTAAATCTATAAATGATTATTTTTGTTCAATTTTCTTTAAGTATTGGACAAATTACATATGAATAACAAACAAATAAGTTACTTTGTACGATATATATACGTATAAAGAATACTTACTACATGTAAACATTGTACTTTGTAATATATATACTCGTTAAGTCGTAGAGATTTATTTTAAAGGACAAGAGTTACATGGAAACATTTGTCCGCTCATTTTTATTGAAAAGAACTTATGTTAATATTATTAGTATTATTGGATTGTACTTTCTTAGGGGGCGTTTGGTTCAAACAATGGTATGGGTTTGGAATGAGGAATGAAACCTGGGTGCTATGGGGTTGGAACTTGATACTTGATTTCATGTGTTTGGTTTTTATCTAGGAATGATAGTTTTCCTTTTAATTTTAAACCTAAAGGTATGGGTATGAGCCATACCCACCTCCCCCCTTGGGTTTCAAAAACCCATACCTTGGGGGTTTGAGGTATGAGTTTGAAAAATGAAATTTCAAGAAACAAACACAAGGTATGGGTTTTGGTCATTCCAAACCCATACCTTATACCTAATATGCTTGAACCAAACACCCCCTTAATTAATTAATTCGAGTTAGTAGTCTAAAATATCTAAGCTACAATTAAGGGTCAGTTCTGTTTAGCTAAATTTTCAGTTCAGCTCCAATCAGTTCGATTCAGTTCCTAATTTCCTTCTCTCATAAACAATTCATTTCAGCTCAACTCACTCCAATTCAGTTCAATAAATCGGAACAGGCCCTTAGAGCCAGAACGAAGAAAACATTTAAAAGATTATCTCTAGCTAGAGGAGATCGAGTGTGTCTTGTACAAGTTTGGTAATCAATCTCTCCAAGAAGATCTTAAGCAGTCCATGTTTGAAAAAATTAAATATGAATGATTGATATAGTTTTATTGGTTTTTATTTGATTAAGGAATTTCTGCTCTTGATAAATATTCTAATTGAACTTGAAGTTTGCAAGAAAGAAGGAGAGGTGAATCCAAAACCCAACCCACAAAAAGCGTGGATATTAGCCTTCAATTTTGGATTTTTTTGACTTTTTTTCACTCGAAAATAAAATTGCCGAAATGATTACCATGGACCTTAATACCCTCAGGGAGTCCAATTATATTGGCTGGGTGGAACCATCCAATTTGCCTTAAAACGACCAATTTACCGGTTTACAACTTGATTGCACCGATTTCATTAACTCAAGCTTACCACGAACATTTATGAAAAAATATAATGATCATATATGAATCCAAACGACATTATATGATCCCGAGATGTATCCTCTAAAATCTCAATGCTTTTCGACACCAGCCCTGAAACATTCAAAATTTCTCAAAAAGCGTAGATATTAGCCTTCAATTTTGGAATTTTTTTACTTTTTTCGCCCGGAAATAAAAATTGTTGAAATGTTTACCATGGTCTCAAATATCCTCTAGGAGTCCAATTGGGTGGGTGGAACCATCCAATTTGCCTTTAAATGACCAATTTACCGGTTTACAACTTACATCGATTTCATTAATTCAAGCCTACGACAAACATTTATGACAACAAATAATGATCATATATGGTTCCAAACGACATTATATGAACCCAAAATGTATTCCCTAGAATTTCAAGAATTTTCGATTTCGGGCCCCGAAAACTCCAAAAATTCTCAAAAAGCGTGGACATAGCCATCAATTTTTGAATTTTTTAACTTTTTTTTGCCCGGAAATAAAAATTGTCGAAATGTTTACCATGGTCTCTAATATCCTACGGGAATCCAATTGGATGGGTGGAACCATCCAATTAGCCTTTAAACGACTAATTTACCGGTTTACAACTTGCACGGATTTCAATAACACAACCCTACCACAAGCATTAATAACAACAAATAATTAAAATATATATGGTTCCAAACGACATTAT